GGNGGNGGGGAGAGAGAGAGAGAGAGAGAGAGAGAGAGAGAGAGAGTCGATAAATCATCCCGCGGTTTCGGATCAATTGCAAGGGGCAACAAGGTCGGTAAATAACGAATCACGCGGGCTTTCAATTTGCTCTCGCACGTAGGGTCGGGAATCGATTGGGAAATTCGGGTCGATGATCGATCGATCGCCTCTTCGTTAACCCTCGCCTCGTTGAGACGATGAGCCAGCCATCGTTTGGAATTCGTTCGAATTCGTATTTCCACCTTAAAAAAAGGAGAAAAGAAATCTCTGCAACGACCGTATCCCGTATTTCTTTAGATACACGCCGCTGCATCTCGACTCGAGAATAGCTAAAATACGCGAAGAGATATAACGAGCGAGAGAGAGAGAGAGAGAGAAAGAAGAAGAAGCGGGTCGCTTGATCCATTAGACGAGCAAAGAATCAAAGGGGGAAGAAAGAAAGAGGAGAAAGGACAAAGGAGGGGGTGGAGGGGAGGAGAGGAAAGGATGAAGGGTCGACCCTGAGGGGCCGGCAAGGCCAGAGTGCGGGGCGAGAGGGTTAGGGGAGAAAAGGTCGTCAGCCCCGTGAGAAAGGGGTGGAGGCCTGCGAGCAGGTTAAAAGCTCGGTCACAATAGGTTGCCTGCAAAGCTCAGGTTCCAGGGGGTCGGAGGCGGAGGAGGGTGGTGGAGGCGCGGTGGGCGGTGGTGGAGGAGGTGGCACGAGCATGTGCTGCGTCCTTCAGGGTGCCGAGAGAGTGTTCCCCTCGAATGGGGGGAAGCACGGGTCTGGGGCGGGGAGCAACAGGGGGGGCATGGGGACCTCGGTCGGCACCCAAGATCTGCCCCTCGAGTCACTCTGGGCGGCCGGCCTCGACGAGGGTATGGGCTTCCCCCAAAGATGTTCCTACGCCAATCATCACACCACGCTCGCCAATACTGCCACGGGCCACACGACCACCAACCCCGAAGAGCTCTGGAAGGAGAGGAACCTCTCTTACAGGTAGACCTCCCGAGAATTAATAATAATAATAATAATAATATAACAATAGCGCGTTACGAAAAGTGAAGGCGGAGAATCGTGAGTCCTATCCTTTCTTTTTCTTTTTTTTTTTCTCCGTTTCGTCAACGAAACGTATCGCGACCGAGCGTGGAACGAAAACGCAAGGGAAATTGCAAATACCATCCTCCCCAGAACTCCAACCACTTCGACCGGAATCGACTCGTCCATCACCGACGAGATATGGACGTCCGCGAACGAGGCAAAGTTCTTCCGCACCTCGACCACGTCGACGGGTATCGGATCGTCGCTCAACCTCAACCACGAGAACAATCGGTCGTTGGAGTCGAGGGACACCGACTTCTACTCGACGGACATCGAGGACTCGAAGGACACCTATCGAAGATTCTTTCCCAACACCCCGACCACGTCCGGTTTAGGCTCCTCCTCGGACAGACAGTCGGTGGAAACTCGGCCGGGGTCCAAGGATCTGCCCGACCACCTGTGGGCGGCGGCCATGGAGGACGGTTTCTCGAGGTTCAACGCGATGAAATCACTGCAGACGATCACCCGGCAACCGCGGCCTAATCACGACTGGGTGAAGACCGAGAGGATCTCGAGGTTCACCAAGCATCGGACCATCGGTCAATCATCGCCTCAAAGGGAGGAGGAGATATGGACGTCCAAGTTGAACGAGAGCAACGTGTCCACGTACGCGACCCAGAGGATGATGAACGGGCCGCACAAGTGTCACCATCAGACGAGACGAAGCTTCTCCACGTCGATCGTGGCCGATCTTGCCGTGACGCCGGACGGGTCGCAGCAGAGCCTCGGCAGCGGCGAGTTTCTGGTGAGTTTCTCTCGCTCCTCTCTCGATGTTGTCTCTCGATGTTGTGCCGCTAGAATGCCTACAGAAACTACGACTATTCCGTTTATAATTTCGTACGCGCGTCGCCCCATCCAATGTTTATTTTCGTACGAGGCGAAACGTTCCGTTTCTATTTACGTTCGCATCTGTCGTGTTACGCGTATGTTATTGTACGCGTTAGAAGAGGAAGAATCGATAACGGATAGCTCGATAACCAGATTAGACTAATCGTTGGAAAGCTTAAAAAATTCGAGCGAATTTTTTCTCTCTTTGCATCGCGCGTTCTCAGAATATTCCGTTTTTTACGGAAGAAAAGAATCGAAAATTCTCTCGTTGCACCTCGCCCGACGAAGAAATTGTTCGCGATGAACGGACTCGTCCCGTTTAATCCGCTCGTCTAATCAATTACCGGCTGCGCGAAACGGAGCTGGAAACTGATCTCAATAAAGATCTACTTATCATAATGGGCGACAATCGTCTCCAATGCCCACGCGTCCGCCATTCGCGATCCAGAATCGTGATTCGGTTTGGAGAAAAAAATATCTCCCCGATCTCTTTTTATTATTATTAATATTATTATTTACGTCTGCCAAACAATTATTTCGACAAACTCGATCAACATCGAGGAACCGTTATTACGTATAGTAACCGTTTAACGCGAGAAAGCCGATAATTTGCTGATCATTGGAACGTCCTCGATTCGGGTTGAAATGTGGACCAGCTGTCACCTCGAGTCAGAGGCGAGAATGACCCCGAAACCAACGAGCTTCGACGGCTGCGGCTGAAAAATCAATGCTGCCAACCTGTTGCCTCGAATTATCGCCTCGCATGAATTTTAACCGAAGGTGTGCACTTCTCTCTATTTTCTCTCTCTCTCTCTCTCTTTCTCTCCCTTACACTTTTCCCATTCTAATTACACTTGGTATCACATGCTTATTCCAAGAGTACGTATCGTTTAAACACGAGTCAGAGAAGTAGATGATACTCGTCTCTTTCGAACAGAGAATTTCCCCTCCCCTCCCCCTTTCCGTTTTTATACGTTTTTACGCGTTGGAGAATATTTAAGAGAGGAGAGTATCTAATTTTTTTTCTCTTCAACGTTGCCTCCAATTACTCTGATTACTGTAATCCTTGTTAAATGGAGGTACAGTCGCGAGAAAATCAAGTTGGCCGGTGTTTCGATCCAATTACAACGTGCACGATCGATTAATCGGGTCGTGGCAATCCGTGCCGGATGCGCGCCATTTTACGAATGCGGTTTGGCCATCGACCACAGAACGCCGTGATATTAATCGCGATTATTAATTAACGCCGTTGGAAAACAACGGCGAAGGACTGTTATTAGAACACGAGCCTTTCTCTGCGATATACGACGAAGGGATGTGTGATTCATTTCGGATAAACGAAAGTGTTCGATTCATTCGTTCCATATTTTCTATTTCGAGGATCTCCTCGATCGATGCACGTTGGTTTCCATTCGCTCAATGTTCGAAGTTATGTGTCGATGTAACGCAAGCGAAATCGACCCGATTCGTTCTTGAGCATCGTCTCCGAATCGTCATCCTCCCCTTTTGCTCTACTTTCGAACAATTTTAAAATTTCGCGAGGGCGATCCCCGCACGGAGAGATAGATATTCCTGGCTCGTGCTTCGAAATAAATAAAAAACAATGTCTCCCCTTCGTCCATGTTATTTTAATACGCGCAATAAAGCTTGTTCTTACGGAATAATATCAAGAATAATATAGCGAATATTGAAGTACGCGCGCTTCGCTGGATCGAAGGAGAGGGAAACGTAATTAACACTTTGAATGAGAGACACGCGCTACTCTTTTGAAGGTCGAGAATCAAACTTGTCTACCTTCTCTCTTTAATTTTCCAAATTGAAGCGGAAGTGAATTTTAACGAATCTCAAGTTTTCTCCGCTGTCGTATAAATTTCACAAACAATTTCGTATAATTTCGTTGCCCTTACGAGAAATATTTATTCAAAGATTTTTCGCGATCGATGTCCCCTTTCCGCGACAAATTCATCAACGTGTTATTATCGAATCGAAGCCAATTAACTCTTCTCTCAAAATCTTCTTTTTTTTCTTCCAAACAAGTCGTTTAAACAAATTTACAAAAGACCAATCTGAACAGCTACTTTACATACACACAGTTTGCGTTATTGTTCCCTCCCTTGTTGTTAACGTTTCCCATATTTCCCCTCCTTGTTGAGGAGAGTGCATTGTTCTTTTGCGCGACGGTTGTGCAAAGCAAACGACGCAGTTAAAAGTGTATTACTACGGTTGCCAACCATCGAGTTTCGCTACACCCCTCCAGGGCTGTTGCCGCTTTCTTTGCAACTCGGAGGGGGTTGCTTTCCACTCGTTCGCAACGAACAAACGGAGAGAGAGAGAGAGAGAGAGAGACAAACGTGCTCGATCCTGCCTCGTTAACGTATCCCTGTAATACTAGTTGCAAAACTTGCTCGATTGGAAGAGAGATGATCAGCCCTGTTCCTCTCCGTACGAAACGAGGCGAGATCGTGTGGCGCATCCAGGATTTAATTAGCCCGGTGAACGATGCGCTGGAACGACAGGTGGAAAGCACCACCTCCCTTGGACGTGATGGACTGACTGGTCGAAGGAACGCGTTTGATTAAAATCCATTTATCATTCGAATACCCCGTTTCGCTCGAAATACTCGACTAATTATCGCCCCGCGTTCCGCCACGTTTTTTCCCGCCACTCGTTTCGCGCTTCTGAAAAATTCGTACGTACGGATCGAGGGAATAATTACGAACGCTCGCTCCTTTCGTCCGGTTCAATTTGGAGAGACACTTTGAAAGGAGAGAAAGAATTCCTTGTTTTATTTTTTTTTTTTTTTTTAATTTAGATTACGTGCGTTTTAGCCGTTTGCTTGTTTTTCTCGTTGTTCTTTGCGCGCGAAATATCGCGAATGATTCGTGAAATGTAATGATAATGATCGATAATGAAAGTATATTATTTTGCTTTTCGGGAAAAGATTATACTGGCCGAGTTTTAGCATCATTATTTCGATACTCGTGTGCCACATTTTTTAATCTCAATTGCATTATTCATTATTCCTATCGTTGTCATCGTTCACTGTGAATAATCAAAAATACGTAGTTTATTTATTTTATTGATTGCCGATACAAAATTAATAAGGATTGATATCGATAAAGGCGCAAGAGGGGAATTTACGTTTCGTTAGAGCGATTCGTGGCAGGAAACGGTGACAGGAAGTGTAAACGAAAGGGTAGCCACGAATCCCTCGAAACGGTTGATTACTTGACGAGAGCCACTTCGAATCGATAATCGAGCCGCAATCTCCGTCGGCTAAAGTGATAAAATGTTCTTGGAAGACTGCAAAATCCTGGTTTGCTTCTCTCGATCGATCAACATATTCTCTCTTTCTTCCTCTTGTTATCTTTTCATTCGATGCCACGATCTACCACTACCACTTGCGTTGAGAGGAGAAAAAACCTTCTACGTGAATTCTTTCCATTATTTGTAAAAAGCGTTTACGATCAGAGCAACAAATGTTGGTAGATTTATAATTTTAAAATTTATTATTCATAAAAATTTCTCGACTCGAAATCGATGACTTTATTCGTTCGGAGCGACAATCCATTTCAGAAGACAAGTTGCGGACAAGAACGGTGGTTAGATGTCTCGAAAATAGGAGGGGAAAAGAGAGGAGAATGGAATTTTCGCGCGTTATTTTAAGAAAAGATGGTAAGAGAGTTCGATGCTCGAGATCTTTCGTCAGACGTTCCCTCTATCTCGTCGCGAGGGACGTTTCAAAATTAGACGCGAGTTTTTATCTCGACCATCACGTTTCTCACGAATTTCCTCGAGGAGATACGCGTGTGCGATACGATCCACCACTTTGGAATTTCAATTGTCGCGCCGGTAAACGACTCGTGTCGTTTTCACCGTGTATAACTCGATTTCGCCGGGACACATCGATTCACCCGCAACTCGGATCCCTTCCGATACGTTTGAGAATTTTCTTCTATTTTACCGCACCTCCCTCTTCTCACGGATTTCAAAGGAAACGCGTTTCGCTCGCTCTTTCGTTGACAGATTTATTCTCTGTCGTCGAATCGATACACGCGTTATTTTCAATACTTGCTCCTCTCTTTAGAGGGATATCGCTTGAATCTTTGTATGCGGAGAACTCCGTGTCTCGAGCGATGGATATGAATGATCGAGAAATTCTATTTTTAACGATTCTCTTAAGAAGCAATGAATACGTCGATGAGTCACGAACGACAAATGTGTTGATGCGATTGATGTAATAATTAAAGAATTTTCGATCAAACGAAAATACGGAAGAAGCTTATAAAAATTGTCGATGCCTGATTTACTTGTTCTCCCACTCTCTTCGAATCTCTCTTTTTTAATCTTCGAATGATTCAAGATTTTCGAAAGACCGATCGCTCGTCTTTCCATCCATCCGATCCGAAGATGGTGAATTATCGGAAATCCGATTATTAATTTTCTCTTTCTCGCGCGAGATAAGTAAGAGGAAAGGGGGAGGAAAAAGCGTTCGACGGACGTAAATTGCAGCCTTCTTCGATTAATTGCCGTTTTCAGAACCACCTGTTGTTCGAACAGGTAATCTCCGTACCGTAGGCGACAGAGGAGCGCAACGATTGCACCGATAATGATCGTAGGTAACCATCCTCCCCCTCTCCTCCCCCTGTATCGATCGTTTCATTTCACTCGGAAACAAAAGGTGTTCTCCGACGAAACAACGTATTCGATTCGCGTCCACGATCGTTCATCTCGTTCGTAATTACTTTCATAATACGAGACGAAGCGTTTTTCCCTCCCCTTCCTTTTTTTCAAACGCGTTCCAATCGAATCCCCCTTGTTGTCGAAGGGAGGAAAGAAAGAAGCTTATCAATTTTAATTTCCAATTTCAACCGGTTGATTGAATTTACAATCAAAGCCGCGCGCCATTTAATCGGTCGAACGAGATTCCCCGTCTCGTTTCCATTTTCCATTCGATATTTAGCGAATATTTATATATATATATTATATACACGGAGGAGAAGAAAAAAAAAATTTTTCGACACCTTTTTTCGCTTAATTTAAAAAGATACGCGCTGCAAATATTTATAATACGCCAAATACGGGAGGGGAAAAAAAATATTCGTTCGATCGTCCATTGATTGACGATTGATAAATTCCTTCAACAGAGACGGAGAGAGAGAG